AGCTTTGAATTGAGTTTTGTGCAGGGTAAAAGATAGGGGTTGAATTTCATTCTGCTACACATGGATGTATAACCAATGTGATCCTGCAATCTGTACATGTGGAAAAATGAGAATTCATACCCTATTTGAATCAAATGTATGATATGTCAAAATCATTGTATTGTCTTGAGCAAATAATAAAAAAACAAATAAATAAAATAAAGATGTTGTGTCCAGTTATAACTAAAAAATAAATATTAAAAAAAATAAATAAATGAATAAAACCGACAAAATTCTTCTTAATGGTAAAAATAAGTGGCAAATACAGTAACTACTTTGTATATTATTTTGTTTTTTATAAAAAGATAAAAAAATGGGCTTTTCCAGAGCAAGCTGCCAAAAACCAATGAAAGCAGCCAGGTCAGGCAGAAATCAGATTAAATGTTTCAAAATTTCAAACATTAATTTTTCTTATAAGTGGTTTATCTTTTAAGCTGTTATACTTATTTATCTAGAAGATATTGTTAGGCTTTATTTGTGAAACTGTCATGTCAATCTGGTGAGTTATGTAATTTTTATTTTTATTTTTTTATTTTTATTTTTTTAAAAAGAGAGAATTTTTTGAATATTTATTTTTCAGTTTTTGGTGGACTAATTTTTATTTTCTAAGCAATTATTCCATGGCACTTCTGTTTCAATAGAGAATTTCTTAAGTTGGGAGGCCAAGTTTGATGTAGAACTTCTGAAAATTAAAAAAAAAAAACAGTTAAAAGAAGAAGAGCAAGCAGAAAAAATAAATTAAGTGGTATGATACTCCCATACCTTTTTTTTCTGTTACCCTCAAATATTTTGGTATCCTTTCTTGTGCAGCAAGAGGATCATTTGAACAGATTTTTATAAGACAATAATATTTGTAGGTATCTAGGACAAAAAGAGAAAATATATCAACATGATGTTATTTTTTAAAAGTATAATTTATAATTAATTGTTCTCCTGTACTAAGGATTTATTCCAGTGACCTTCTATCACTGAGTCATGTCCCCAGCCCTTTTTCATTTTTTATTTTGACATGGGATCTCACTAAGATGACAAGGCCTGTCTTGATTGCAATCCTTCTGCCTCAGTCTCCCAAGTAATTGTGATTGCAGGCATGTTTCACTGTACCTGGTTATGAGGAATTTTTATGTCTGATTTCTGGTACAAATATTACAACTAATAGATTTTGAAATACAGGAATATTTACATTTTATATAGAAGCAATCTCACTTTTCTAGTACTCTACATAGACTAGGTTCATCACTTGTTCCTTTTTAATGTGAATATATTTCATATACATCCTAGCTACTAATTGAGTTCATAAATTTATTGAAATTTGTAGGAAGATAGCTTTTCAGACTTGTTTTCCTGAATTTTTATATTTTTTTCAATGTTAGTAGGGAAGGTGAATGAACACTATAACATTTGAGTTAATCATACTTATATCTTTTAAGGAAACAGCTGTTTGAAACAGATCATAATCTTGACACATCTGATATCCAGTTCTTGGAGGATGGTGAGATAATATCAGAATTCCATATGTGTATAATCTTGTCTTTAATTTTAATCCGTAAAGATTGGAGTGATAATTCAATGTAAATTTTTCCTCCCAAGACTGATGAAAAAATTCATTTTGAAGCAAAAACAGTTGATCAGTTAATATATTTGAACTGAATGTTTAATTCTACAACAATGTACTATTTGAACATTTTATGATAACTTAAACACTCTCTAGATAGGAACAGGTAGACATCTATGGTGACAAAAAAACAGGTGACTCAGATGACTTGTTTCCCCAAAATTTATATCATCACAAGTCTATGGGAATGATTTTCCATAGTCTCTCATGGAGCTTGGAAAAACCTCAGATATAGAACTTCTAGTATTTCCTCTCTTGCTGCCTCTTCATATCCAGTAAGTTACCAAAACATACCTATTGATTTTGCCTCTGAAATGTCTTCTCATCACTTTCCTTCCCTTACTTGAAGGTTTTATCATTTTCACTTGGACTTTTGTAAAAGCCTCTGAAACTGTATCCCCAAATATGTTCCTCCTTCTAATGTCCTTATCTGTTTTATTGTTGCTGCCTTTGAGATGGCATTTCTAAAACCTATATTTAACCATAAACCTGTTTTTTGAAATTTTTTCTTGGTTTCCATTAGTCTGAAAAAAAAGGTTGACTTTTGCTGTCCTCATTCTGACCCTTATTCATTTTGGTATTTTTCCTAAAAGTCTTGCCTTCCAGTTCGACATATTCAAGGTCTTACTCTTATTCTTGCTTTTGTATGCATTTCTACCAACAATTGCTTTCACATGACCTTTTCTTCTTGGTGGATTTAAATATATCACAAAGATATTTTAGATTTCATTTGCTCTGTGAAACCCTACAGAGACAGTTATTCTTTGACTAGGGCTTAGCATTTCATATTTTTCTTTCTGATCTACTCATAGGCATGAAACAACACTTGTTTTCTTTATATTCTCATTGCAGTGAATGTCAGTAAGTGAATCTGAGAGGGAAGGAAGTTTACAATGTGTGGGGATTCACTAGAGCTATGCTATCCTTTATTTATCTACTTCAGACAAAGTGAAGAGTGAGATGTTTAATGGGGAACCTGGCTATTGCTTACTGTAGGGCTCAGACACATGGAATCTTGAGAAGTCTATTGATTACAAGGAGTCTTGATGGAGAGAAACTGTCAAGTTACATCTGTCAATTAATTAGCAAGTATGAGAGATTTCTGGTATAAGTCTTATTGATAGTTAACTTATTATAACCAGGGCAACATATCTTCAGTATATAACATGCCACATTATAAATATGTATTCTATGATAATCCCTTAACAATAACAACAAGATATTTTTGAACTGTGACCTGGAGGAATGAAATTGCTGTTAAAGTGTTAAGAGTCTCTACTGACAAAGAAAGATGTGATTTGCATTAGTAGTTTGGAATTTTGTAAGTGACGCCTCCTATATACACTGAGAAGCTTCTGTCTGGTACTCCAGTGAGTTCTATGTTTGATTTTTTGAGTATAAAGCTGAGAGGGAATTTTGTTTTGCTTTTTGCAGCTGGAAACAATGTGGAGGTAGATGAGTCTTTGTTCCAGGAAATGGATGACTTGGAGCTGGAGGATGATGAAGATGATCCAGACTACAATCCTGCTGACCCAGGGAGTGACTCAGCATACTAATAGACTGTCCCCATCTGCAGAGAAGTTGACTGCCACAGCATCTGTGGCTATGCTGAGAGGGTTTTGATTTTCCTTTCTTTTTTTCTAAGAAAAAAATAATTTGCAGGAGATAATTCTTCTGATCACTTTCATCACTGACTTAATAAACTGACCTTAAAGTTTCAAATATAGAATGTTCATGTGTTCTAATTGATTAGTAGAAGATAACATTTTAAAAGGTATTTAGTGTTGAAGAGAGATCCTTCCAATAACACCAAGACTTGAGGGTAGGCTTTGGCATGTGAGGGTTCATACATGAGGAATCAGAATAACTCAGAATTTCTCTGCTGGTGATCGTTGTTTCTTTGGTTTCTAAGTGTAGTCATTTGTATTAGAAGGCTGAGTCAAATAGAGCATTAATCCTAGATCTTTCTGACACAATAAATTTATGTCTTAATAAAACCAGAGCCCATATTATAGGCAGAAAAATGGATTTCATTATAATAATAGTAGTATTGGAGTCAGAATTTGTGGTATTTTTAAGGATGTTTATTCTTTGGTCACTTCTCAGGTAAGACTTTTGTAAGTCCCAGTCTACATTTTTAAACGGTGAAATTGCATACCAATTCACAGGTGATTCTGATGCACACTCCTGATTGAACTACTGTCTTGCAATTGTTACATCTGTAAGTTTTAGTGTTTCTCTGCTGCTTTCTATTTAGCCAGTCTGAAGTTTTCTGAATTATAAGAGTTATACACTGTGTACAAGAGGAACACACATCAATCTCCATACATGTTTAAGACTGTCTTTGTATTAATTTGAAATGATTGACTTGGGCGTACCATATGGGAGAGCCAGGATTCATGTGAATTTTCCAATCTTTGAAGCCATGAAGGATTGATCCAAATCCAGTGAGAAATCACTTGTGCTGTTGTAAAGAGCTGTCTTTAGTCAAAAAAGACCCATGCCACATACCTGCAAACAAAACTATATCAATCACACATTGACTTTTGGACTTTTGTTATTAAAAGCCAAATTATCATTGGAAATTTAATACTTTCTTAAGGAAAATTGTAGTATGTCTTGATGCCAGAGCAATAGAACAGAATAGCAGGGAGAGAAACAAAAATTGTTACGTGAGGTTTTGTTTTATCAAAAAGCTCCTGCTGAAAGCTGTTTAAAAGATGCATAAGGGATCCAACATGGCGGCAGGCACTGAGAGATCAATTCTCTGACCTCTTCAGCTGTGAGGGCAAAGGGAGTCTTAAACCAACTGAATGCTGTTTGTTCAGAATCACTTGGCAATGCTGGGCTGAAGTAGACCTGGGGCGAGCAGTTTGCACCCCTCAGAACCCACACCAAGCCCAGAGCCGGTGAATTCAGGCTCCCAAACACAGTTTCTGGCTGATTGACTCGTCTCGCTGCCAAACCGCCGTGACTCAGTGCTACAGATGCTCCTGTGGAATAGAGAAACAACTCTTCAGTTCCTCTGTGAACCTTTTGGGGTGATACTAAACGAGCCTTCTTAGGCAGCAGGCCCAGAATTGAGACAGAACCTGGGAGAGCAAGACCAGCACTCTTCACATCAGACACCCAGCAAATGAACGGATGGCCGCCATTCACAGTTATAAAAAAGGAAACAGATGTACAAATTGTAGAAGCATACAGGACACGGAGCATACAAAATCACAGTAGACCAACGCCAAGACACATTGTTATGAAGATATCGAATAAACAGAACAAAGAGAAAATATTAAAAACTACAAGAGAAAGGAGGCAGATTACATTCAGGGGTAAACCAATAAGGTTAATGGCTGATTTTTCATCACAGACGCTGAAAGTGAGAAGATCCTGAAACAACGTATTTCAAACACTGAAAGACAATGGATGCCAACCAAGAATTTTGTATTTAGCAAAATTAAGCTTCAGGTATGACAACAAAATAAAAATCTTTCATGATAAACAAAAGTTAAAAGAATTCGCAGCTAGAAAACCAGCATTACAAAGCATCTTGAGCAAAACATTACACAAGGAAGAAATGAAAAACAACAACCAAAACCAACAGTGGGAATTACTTCAGTAAATCAAGAGGGGGGGAAGCTAATCATGGAGAAACAAACTAAATTTAAAAAAAAGATAAATAATCAAACATGACTGGAAGTACAAACCATATATCAATAGTAACCCTAAACATTAATGGCTTAAACTCACCAATAAAGTGACATAGGTTGGTAATCTGAATTAAAAAAAAAACAGATCCAACAACATGCTGCCTTCAGGAGACACATCTGATTGGAAAAGACATACACAGGCTGAAGGTGAAAGGTTGCAAAAAATCATACCACTCACATGGCCCTCGGAAGCAAGCAGGAGTGGCCAACCTCATATCGAATAAAATCAATTTCAAGACTAAGTTAATCTAAAGGGATAAGGAAGGACATTATATACTGTTAAAAGGAACCATTCGCCAATAAGATATAACAATTATCAATATTTATAAAACAAATAATGGTGCTGCAACTTTAATAAAACAAATTCTCCTCATGTCCAGGAATCAAATCGACAACAACACAATAATTATGGGTGACTTCAACATACCTCTCTCACTTTTGGACAGATCCTTCAAACAAAAGTTGAATAAAGAAACTATAGAACTCAATAACATAATCAATAACCTAGACTTAACTGACATATATAGAATGTATCAACCATCATCAAGTGGATACTTTTTTCTCAACAGCACATGGTTCCTTCTCAAAAATAGACCATATATCATGCCGTAGGGCAACCCTTAGTAAATATAAAGGTGTGGAGATAATACCATGCTTCTTATCTGATCATAATGGAATGAAACTGGAAATCAATGATAAAAGAAGGAAGGAAAAATCCTACATCACTTGGAAAATGAACAATATGTTACTGAATGATCAATAGGTTACAGAAGACATAAAGGAGGAAATCAAAAAATTCTTAGAGATTAATGAAAATACAGACACAACATATCGGAATCTATGGGACACAATGAAAGCAGTTTTAAGAGGAAAATGTATTGCCTGGAATTCATTCCACAGAAAAAGAAAAAAATCAACAAATAAATGAGCTCACACTTCATCTCAAAACCCTAGAAAAGGAAGAGCAAAACAAAAGCAAATGTAGCAGAAGGCAAGAAATAACTAAAATCAGAGTGAAAATCAATGAAATTGAAACAAAAGTAACTATTGAAAAAAGTGATAAAACTAAAAGTTGGTTCTTTGAAAAAATAAATAAGACCAACAGACCCTTAGTCATGCTAACGAAGAGAAGAAGAGAGAGAACTCAAATTACTAACATACGGGATGAAAAAGGCAATATCACTACAGACTCTACAGAAATACAGAAGATAATTAGAAATTATTTTGAAACCCTATATTCCAATAATATAGAAGATAGTGAAGACATCAATAAATTTCTTAAGTCATATGATTTGCCCAGATTGAGTCAGGAGGATACACACAATTTAAACAGACCAATATCAATGGAGAAAATAGAATAAGCCATCAAAAGACTACTAACCAAGGAAAGCCCAGGACTGGATGGGTATACATCAGAGTTTTACAAAACCTTTAAAGAAGAATTAATACCAATACTTTTCAAGTTATTTCAGGAAAAAGAAAAAGAGGGAGCTCTTCCAAATTCATTCTATGAGGCCAACATCACCCTGATTCCGAAACCAGACAAAGACACTTCAAAGAAAACTACAGACCAATATCTCTAATGAACCTAGATGCACAAATCCTCAATAAAATTCTGGCAAATTGGATACAAAAACATATCAAAAAAAATTGTGCACCATGATCAAGTAGAATTCATCCCTGGGATGCAAGGCTGGTTCAATTTATGGAAATCAATAAATGTTATTCACCACATCTATAGACATAAAGATAAGAACCATATGATCATCTCAATAGACACAGAAAAAGCATTTGACAAAGTACAGCATCCCTTTATGTTCAAAACACTAGAAAAACTAGGGATAACAGGAACTTACCTCAACGTTGTAAAAGCTATCTATGCTAAGCCTCAGGTTAGCATCATTCTAAATGGAGAAAAATTGAAGGCATTCCCTCTAAAATCTGGAACAAGACAGGGATGCCCACTCTCACCACTTCTATTCAACATAGTTCTCGAAATACTGGCCAGAGCAATTAGACAGATGAAAGAAATTAAAGGCATAAAGATAGGAAAAGAAGAACTCAAGTTATCACTATTTGCAGTTGATATGATCCTATACCTAGCAGACCCAAAAGGATCTACAAAGAAACTTCTAGAGCTAATAAATGAATTCATCAAAGTGGCAGGATATAAAATCAAAATGCATAAATCAAAGGCATTCCTGTATATCAGCAACAAATCTTCTGAAATGGAAATGAGGACAACTACCCCATTCACAATATCCTCAAAGAAAACAAAATACTTGGGAATCAACCTAACAAAAGATGTGAAGGATTTATACAATGAAAACTACAGAACCCTAAAGAGAGAAATAGAAGATCTTAGAAGATGGAAAAATACACCCTGTTCATGGATAGGCAGAACTAACATCATCAAAATGGCGATATTACCAAAAGTTCTCTATAGGTTTAATGCAATGCCAATCAAAATC